GTCAAATGCCTTAGGCACACACCACCAGAGCTCCTCATCATTTTCTGGAGCCTTGTTTTTTGCCAATTCCTTCAATACAGCTTCAACTTCTTCCTCCAGTACCACTGGTTCTTGATCACATGCTATCTCATCAATCAGTTCTTTATGGTACAGTGACTGTGTATTTTTTCCATCTTTTGATCCTTCCTGCATCATTCACTATTTTGACCATAGACTCCACTATTGCAACTTGAAGCTTGAATTTTTTCTTCAGTTCTTTCAGCCTGAGAAATGCTTAGTGTATTTATCTCTTGGTTTTCCAACTCCAGGTCTTTGCATATTTCATGGTAATACTTTGTTTTCTCAGGCTGTCCTTTGAAATCTTCTGTTCATCCCTTTTATCTCATCATTTCTTCCATTTGCTTTAACTACTCTTGGTTCAAGAGCAAATTTCAGAGTCTCTTCTGACATCCATTTTGGTCTTTTCTTCCTTTCCTGCCTTTTTAATGACCATATGCTTTCTTCATATATGATGTTCTTTTTGTCATCCCACAAGTTGTCTGGTTTTCGTCATTGGTGTTCAATGCATCAAATCTGTTTTTTAGATAGTCTCTAAATTCAGGTAGGATGTAATTAAGGTTGTATTTTGGCTCTCGTGGACTTATTTTAGTTTACTTTAGTTTCAACTTGAACTTGCATAGGAGCAATTGATAATCTGTTCTACAGTCAGCTCCTGGCCTTGTTTTGAGTGATGATATTGAGCTTTCCCATTGCCTTTTTCCACAGATGTAGTCAATATAATTCCTGTGTATTCTATTTGGTGAGGTCCATGTGTATAACCACATGTATGTTGTTGAAAAAAGGTATTTGCAATGAATAAGTCATTGGTTTTGCAAAATTCTATCATGTGATCTCCAACATCTTTTCTATCACCAAAGCCATATTTTCCAACTCCCAGTGCTTCTTCTTTATGTCCAATTTTTGCATTCCAATCACCAGTAATTATCAGTTTATCTTGACTGCATGTTTGGTCAATTTCAGACTGCAGAAGTTGGTAAAAATCTTCAATTTGTTCATCTTTGGCTTTAGTGGTTGGTGTGTAAATTTGAATAATAGTAGCATTAACTGGATTTCCTTGTAGGTGTGTGGATGTTATCCTATCACTGTGTGGTGAGTGAATTACTTGGTATGGCTTTCTAGCCATAGTCTTTGTAACTCCCACCAGATTTCTGGGTGGGACCATGCAAATAAGGTGTGTGGAACTCTAATGTGAGGATTGGCTAGTTTTGCTATGCCACTTGGCTTAAAATGAGCCCTCCTAGAGGAAGAGGGGGGATCTCACTGTCATCAAGAGAGAAAAGCTGGAGTTGGAGTGTAGTGTGTCCATGGACCCAAAATCCCTGTGCTGGACTTCCTTGGCAGAGACACCTGGTGAGAGACAGTGGCATTAGAACCAAGAGGCATAAGATAAAGCAGTGGGCTTGCCTGGCCCACAGAGCAAGAAAGCTGAGTTCCTTTGGGCAGGAGACTTGCTGGCAGAGTGGGGTGCACCTAGGTGTACCTATTGACGGAACTAAGAGCTTTGTAACACTTGCCCAAGCAGAGCAGAGGCCAGATGAGAGGCCAAGGGCCAGAGAGGCATACCTGAAGGCATAGCAGAAGGAAGACTGACCTGATCAGAGAACTGTGTCCTGAGCGTGGTCCTGAGTTGTAGCCTATTTCTTCTCTAATAAACCCCAGAATCGCGAGTATTGTCTGTGAGTTGTGTGATCATTGGAATGAATTATTGAGCCTAGCCGAGAAGTAGTGAGTGCTGTGGGAGAGAAGTCTGGTGTCAGTAAAAAGGTTGGAGGATGGTGGTATATCTGGCCTTACAGGAATAAGCCTTGGGATAATGCGGGTGACTGTTTCCCCCTCATGAGATTGGAGGAGGTCAGCAGATGCTACCTACCTCCATGCCCTTTTTGCACACTGAGAGCATTGTACTTCAGGATAGATCTTGTAACATGGTTTGTGATGATGAATGCCATGCCATTCCTCTTCAGTTTGTCATTCCCAACATAGTAGATCATATGATTGTCTATTTCAAAATGGCTAATACCATCCATTTCAACTCACTAACGCCTAGAATATCAATCTATGCATTCCATTTAATTTTTGACAACTCCAGTTTTCCTAGAGTCATACTTCATCCATTCCATGTTCTGATTATTAATGGATGTTTGCAGCGGTTTTTTTTTTTTTTTTCTTTTAAATCCATTTTGAGTCAGGCCCCATCAGCAAATGGACATCATTAAGGTCGACTTTACAAGCTTACTCTGAGGAGGCAGCTCTTCCCCAATCATATTTTGAGTGCCTTCCAACCAACCAGAGGGGCTCATCTTCTGGCACTGTATCAGTGTTTCACTGCTATTCATAAGGTTCCCCCAGCTTTATGAGCCGTGGATGCCCCATTCCTTCTTCCAAGTCTGTCTTAATCTGAAAGCTCCACTGAAACCTGTCCACCATGGGTGACCCTGCTGGTACCTGAAATACAGGTGGCATAGCCGCCAGCCTCATGGCAACGCGCAGGCGGCCACCGTAGGACAAACGTTCAGAAGAGTGGTGGAGTGAGAAGCTTAGTCGACACCATATGGCCTTGGGCATTTTCGTTCTTTTGGAAAATAATATTTAAGTCCAGCTTCCAGAAGGAGAAGTCCAGGGTGTGAATAGAGGCTGTTTTAGGATACCTGGCTTGTCCTTTCTGTTTCCTTAATTTGGCTTGTGCTGTGATGCTAGCGCTTCATAAATTAACATGACAAAGACCTGTCTGTATAACCCGCTTTCAGGAGTGCCTTCACTACAGATTAAGGTGACTGCCAAATTCGAATCTTGTCTGCTCACAGTAAGATTTTTAAACTAACTTTTGGTGTTTCTCTAAGCAATTTAGGTTTTAGACAGTTTTTTGGCGTTCTTGATTACAAGCTGCTTGATTTGGGGCAGCATCTACGACTGTAAAATGGGGATAACATTGTTGTTGTTGTTATGTGCCGTCGAGTCGGCCCCGACTCATAGCGACCCCTCCTTGGGTTTCCGAGGCAGTATCACTACGGAAGTAGGATTGCCCAACCTTCCTTCCGAGGAGTGGCTGGTGGGTTTGAACCGCCAGCCGTCTGGTTAGCAGGCAAGTGTCTTAGCCACTATGCTACCAGGGATAACATAGCTACCGAATAAAGCTGTTGTAAGGCTCAAATGGTAAGTATGGGAAAGCTTAAAGATGATTTATTTTTGTTCAGGCCATTCGTTGATCTGTTGACTTTTGTGGAGACCCTGGAAGAGAACTAGAATTACAGGGAAATTTTGAGTCTTTTCTGAAAAATCGAGGGCGGGATGAGTCTGGGAGAGATGCAAGACAAGAATGGTGGGTGACAGTGGGGCATGTTACGAGGTGGACAAGGCGGAAGCGGGTGGACTGGCTGCCTCCCAACTGAGAAAGTGAATCCTAACTCTCAGCACAGCGGTCAGAACCCGCAAACTGTGGGAAGAAGAGAATCCACCGCGATGAGTGGTTACCTATGAGCAAGAGGCGGGCAGACGGTGGCTCGAGAGGACGCCCGGCGAGCGAGCGGAAATCCTAGGCGCCTACTTCCGGTCTTTGTGGCTCCCGGCCCAGGGTCGGTGGCTTGCCCCGAGGTGCTGCAGGGCTCTGCGGTGAGGGACGCGGGCCCCGAGGCGAGGGAGGCCGGGAAAGGTGCGCTGCCGGGGCGGTGGGCGCAGGGTGGAGGAGCCTCACCTCTCGGTCAGCAGGTCCCGGGCCGCGGTTTTTTGTCACAGCGGGGGCTCCGAGCTTCTTGGGGACGCAGAGGACGCCGGCACTCCATCCCCTCCTTTCTCATAGAAAACAGTTATTCCCCACCCTTTTGACTTTACAAACGCAGTGTTTTAAAAGGGGTTTAAAGCAGTAGAAAGGGTAGTGTAGCTTAGCTGGTAATTTATAGAGTAGTGGCATACGTATTCTACCCACTATCTAAAATTAGCCTAGTGTTTATACTAAATTTTACTCATCTTTCTTGCTGACTAATTCAAGCAAGAGCATATTACCCAATCAGTATTCCCCTATCTTGAAGTCAAATAATTGTGTTTGGTCTATACCACAAAATATCTACGTAATTTTTTGTTGCTTTGTTTTACTTTTTAATTTTCTCTCCCAGTATGCTTTTTGAGGGCTGAAGTTGTTCTTTACTTCTTTTGGGTCGCTCTATGATATTTAACATGTTTTGAACACGTGATAAGTATTAACAAATACTTACTGGTTAATTCCTCCACAGATTCATTTGTTTACTGGGCAAGAACATGCCCGGCAAAGGACAGCCCAGAGTAAGTGCCTCTGTACTGACAGAAGGAATTAAGTGAATATCAAATGGCATCAGATAGCTAATACTGAATAATACTTTTTATCTAAGTCAGCCCATGTTTAATGTTAACTTTTTTAAAATCTTGTATTGCTGCCTTAAACGAATGTCAATTTCACTGCCGTAGATAGAAAATAACTGAAAATAAATGTTTAAAAATCAGTATTACTGCTTTCTAGGTAGATACTGTTATCCTCAGAAGACTGAAGCCTGTACTTTGTATATTAAAATGGAGTTCTGCAAGTTTAGACTTGTTACAGATACACTAGCAGTGGAAAGTTTTCCCCTTAATGAAATCGGGCTTCAAAGAATTGAAAAGAAAATAAATTTCTCACTATGTGATGATTAATGTTAACATTGTGTCCTTTACTTCTAAAGTCAATTCTTAAAGCATTAGTGACAGGAATTCTGTGAAATGGGCAACACTGAATGAAGTGACTGATTGGTAGTTTGTGATTTCTTTATTGTTTAGTTATAATCTCACATCTGCTGTCTTTCAGTAAAGTACTAGAGTGATTGATCTCAATTATTTATGAGTTCCTAAAGATTGTTTTCACTGCTGTAAATTGACAATGCTTTCATGTCCCTCAGGAAAGCCTTTGAAAGAAGAAACACTAAAGGAAGCTGTGAAGGACAGAACCCAGGTGTAGTGAGCTCACTGCTCAGCTGCTTCAGCCTAGAATGGCTGTGGAATCCAGAGCACCTTCAACCCTGGTAACGCAACATCCTCAGGAACAAGAACTAATACTAGTGAAAGTAGAAGAGGGCCTTTCCTGGGGTCAGAAATCTAAACAGGATGGGAGTGCCCGATCCTGCCAAGAAATGTTTCGCCAGCAATTCAGAAAGTTTTGCTACGAGGAGACTCCTGGACCTCGGGAGGCTCTGGGCCGACTCCAGGAGCTTTGCTATCAGTGGCTGATGCCAGAGTTGCACACAAAGGAGCAGATCCTGGAACTGCTGGTGTTGGAACAGTTCCTGAGCATCCTGCCTGAGGAGCTGCAGATCTGGGTTCAGCAGCAGAGTCCCAAAAGCGGCGAGGAAGCTGTGACCCTGTTGGAGGATTTGGAGAGAGAGTTTGATGATCCAGGGCAGCAGGTGGGAATAGGGAGATGCAATGTGTCAAGGGATAAGGAATTTCCAGGCTGGAGCATGTGGTATCAAAACAAGAGGATGAAAGTCTGTTTGTTCCTTGTCTTAATTATCTAGTGGTGCTATAACAGAAGTACCACAGGTGGATAGCTTTAACAAACAAAAATTTATTTTCCCTCAGTTTAGGAGGCTAAATCCCAACTATAGGCTGCTGGCTCTAGGAGGTTTTTCTCTCTGTCGGCTCTGGAAGAAGGTCATTGTCTCTTCATCTTCTGCTTCCTGGTTTCTTGGAGATGTTGGCATCGATTTTATCCCAACTCTTATGTCTACCTTGGGTTTAATCTCTTTTACCTCTTAAAAGAGATTGACACAAGATATGCCATATATTAATCCTGTTTCATTAGTCTAGCAAAGACAGTGCATTCCCTAATGGAATTATAACCATAGGCATGGAGGTTAGGATTTATAACACATATATTTTGGGGACACTCAAAAAAAACTCACTGCCATCAAGTTGATTCTGACATATAGCAACCCCATTGGATTTCCAAGGCTGTAAATATTTATGGAAGCAGACCACCTCATCTTTCTTCCTGGGAGTGGCTGGTGGATTCAAGCCACCAAGATTTTTGATTAGCACACCATCAGAGCTCCTTTGGAGGACATAGTTTAATCCATAACACTACTGAGCCATAACCCTGAAGTGACTGCTTGGGCCACTGTAAGTCTCTGTGGTTCTTTTTACCCTGTCCCTCATCCCTGCAGATGTGCTTCTTGAACTCTTCTCTGAGAATTTTTGCTCAGCAGTTTCCCAAGTTTTTGTGGGTTTTTTTTTTTCCCCCTTCACAAAGCTAACCATATTTTCTTGATTTCAGGTTCCAGCTAGTCCACAGGGTCCACCAGTACCATGGAAGGATTTAACATCTCTGGGAGCATCCCAAAAGCCAACAAATGTCCAACTTCAGCCTTTAATGACACAGCTGAAATCCTGGGAACCTTGCCATTCTCCAAAAAATGGTGAGGAGTAGAAACTCATCTGGGGACTGTCATTAATTAGTCCTCTGGTTTTGAGGGTATGGGATTAATTGCATCTCATAAACTTGCCACATATGAGCATCATCTCTTTTATTCTAGGCCAGAGGTGCTCACTTTATCAGGAACTCTAATAAATTGCAGTCTGCCTTCTCTTTTACCTCTTAAAAGGGATTGTCTCAAGATATACCGTACACTAATCTTATCTTATTAATGTAGCAAAGACAGCCCTTCCCAAATGGGATTATAACCATAGGCATGGACGTTACCTGTCATTTGTTCACTTATTCATTCATTTCTTCATTAGACAATTTAAGAATGCTTATACATGTCCATTGCTTTGCTAGTCACCATATCTGTGTGTTCAAAGAGCTTTCAAATCAGCATAGGTGGTAACAGCATTGGAACATATTGCAAGTTACTGAACAAAAGTAGACACTAGGTAGTAGTGGTTCAGTGGTGAAATTCGCACCTTTGATGCAGGAGACCAGAGTTCCATTTGTCAGGTAATGTATCTCAAGTGCAGCCACCACTCATCAGTCAGTGGAGGCTTGTGTTGCTATGATGCTGAAGAGGTCTCTATGGAGTTTCCACACCAAGACAGACTAGGAAGAAAGGCCTGGTGATTGGCTTCTAAATAATAGCCATGGAGCACCGTATGAATCCTATTGTGTATGTGATTGCCATGAGTTGGGAGCTGACTCCATGGCAGGTAACAATAGATACTATGGGGGTACATAAAACAGCACCTAATTTATGTATGATAGGAAACTTTTCTTTGTTGGTTATCAGTGGTGGGAGGGAAGGGGAGGTGAGGGAACACCGCTAGATAGGTAGAGACAAGTATTGATTGGGTAAAGGGAAGAACATTGCACCAAATGTGAGTGATCAGCAGTGTCATTGAGGAAGAGGAAGATGCAGAGAGGTACATGGGAGATACAGACAACAAAGATGAACCCTTTTGCACATGAGTACTACATTGTCAGTGATGGCAAACATTGATCTAGGGTGGATAGATGGCTAGACAAGCTGAACGATCAGGTATATCTAGGCAGGGGAGAGTGTGCCTATGACCATGTATAGGGTTGGCAGACGATGTTTCTACAAGTGTATTTGTATGTTCTATGAGAATGTCCAGGTATATAGGAAAGCTGACAAGGGACAAGGTTGTGATGACTTCTTGGCCACAGCCAGCTACCCTGAAGGAGTGAGTAGTTGAACCTGTGGGCTTGGGACCATGATCCCACAGGACATCAAGGTCAATTGGCATAACATATTCTTCATTAGACAATTTAAGAATGTTTAAGAATGCTTATTCCACGTCTTGCTTTGGTGAATAGTGACTGGGATCTTAAAAGCTTGCAAGCAGCCATCTAGATGCAACCATGGGTCTCTCCTCATCCAGAGCAAAGAAGAATGAAGAAAACCAAAGACACATGGAAACAGTTAGTCCAAGAGACTGGTATCCATGCACTCCTCAGCCTGTATGACCATGAGACCAGAGGAACTAGATGGTGCCAAGCTACCACTCAACCACTCGGAGGGGGTTGGTGTAGGAGATCCTGGATAGAGTGGGAGGCAATGTGGAACAAAACTCAAAATTATTAAAAAAAAAAAAAAAAGACCAGCTTTGCTGGTCTGATGGAGCCTCATGAAAACTCTGAGATTATGGTGCCCATCAGGTCTAGAATTGAACTCCTTTGGCTTCCAGTCAAATAAAATACCACCATATGAGCCGAACATTTACGTTAGGTAGATACACTCCTTGGATAGATAAATCATGGGAGAATAGAAGGGCTATATATGCACAGGGAAACATGGGAGTGCGTGGGAGGAAAGGACACAGGGAAGAGGTAACTATGGGAAGGAAATAGAAAGGGAGCTATTCTTTTGTGGGAAGTTGCAGTCAATGTCATGAGACAAAATGTGTATGAACTACTGTATGGAAAATTAAATTGCTCTGTAAACTTTCACCCAAATCACAATAAAAATTTAAAAAAAAAAAAAAGCCCACACACACCAGTCTTAGCAGTTCATGGAACACTTCCAGGAGGAAGAGTTGTCTACTAAGTGTGAGTAGGAGAAAGCCAGTTAAATAGGAAGGGTGGACTATCTCAAGCAGAGGTCTCAGAGTCCTGTGAGAGAATACAGGATGTTCTGAGAATTACAGATAGTCAAGCATGGCTTAAATGGAGGGTTAGGAGGGGAGGAATGCTGAGAAATGAACTAAAGATGAAAATGGGATCCAGGTAGTAGAAACTTGAATGTCGTGCTAATTTAACTAGTTTGTATAGTTTCCTCAATGCTGTGTGGTACAGTTGAAAGGTTTAGGGTAAGGGAGTGACATGATTAGGTTTATGTTTTAGAATTTAGCTGCACAATGGAGAATAGATTGGAGGAGGGCAAAAGTAGAGTTCTGGAGTCCTATTAGAGGCCTTCAATCCAGGTGTCGACCATGAATAAATCAAAATATATGGTACCCCCAGCCCTATCCCTGGAAGATCAAAGCTGACACCTGTTTATCAGCATTAAAATTTTTTTAATTTTCTAGTTTTTAAAAAATTTCATGGCAGTCTGTTTGTTAAAAGTGGACAATGAAGGAGATGAGTTTGAGACTAATACTATTTTCAGTCTTGAGCAATATAGTTTCTGGTGGTGCTATTCATATGTAAATAAGTCCCTGTATGCTACAAAAAGTTAAGTGCTCAATCAAGTTCACAGCCCCCAGAGGCACCTTGGAAGATAAGCCTGGCTGGTGATCTGCTTCCAAAAAACCCTGTGGAGTGCAGTTGTCGGACATACCTGGGGTCACCATGACTCAGAATCAACTTGTCAGCAACTAGCAACAAAAATTCATGTAAACAGGGAAAGATAAGAGAAAACAAATACATGTGATGATGTGTTTAGTTTGAGACATTTTGGTGGTTGTGAAATTTGACAGTCTAGAGCTCAATAGAGTGCTGGGATAGAGTTGGAGACCTGGGAAGATACTAGCTTTTAAGTAGTAATTGAAGCTTAGTGGGTAGTTTGTAGAGTGGATTCATGAGAACTCAGAACAGAGTCCTGAGAAGCACTAATGATTGAGTGACTGAGATTGGAGATTAAGAAGGAACAGCTGCAGAAATCAGACTAGTATTCCTGGAAGAGAACATCTCTAAAAGAAAGGCAAAGTTTCCCAATGTCAGCTGCTGCAGAGAGGCCAACTAAATAAGATCTGGAAAGCACCCATTGGATTAAGACGCTAGGAAGCTGGTGAGACCAGTATCATTGGAAGTAAAACAGAGGAAGGTAGACACCAGATTGCAGAATGAGAATGATACAGGCAACTCTGAAGAAATTAGTTGTACTGTGAATCGGAATAAGTGAGGTTGCTTGAAGGAGCTGTGTGGGCATGATCTTTAAATGCTGGTGAACAGGAGTCAGAAACAGCTTAAAATAATAGGAAAGTAGCATTTGTAACTGATCATTGACCTCTCCAAGGAACAGGAAAGGGTGAAATTCAAAGTACAGATGGAGACCTTAACATTAGAGAGGAGGAGGAACCCTAGTACAACTAGTTAAAGAAGATAATATGTGAACAGTGGCATCTTTGTAGTTAGAAGCTTCTGTTTTCCCTCAAGTAGAGGGGAGTATTGAGAGTGCCTGGAGAAATGTAAAATCTGTTTTTTGCTAATTCTCATTTCAGGTTGTGAGAACAATGAATCAGCAACAAAGGAAATTTTGGGAGAACAATCACAGGGACTTCCCCTGGAACCTTCATTTGGAGAAGTTAGTGAACATGAAAACCATTTAGAGTGGCAACAAGGAAGTGCTACAGGGGAGAAATTGAGATCCTCTTCCCAAGGAGATGGTTTTAGCCAAGTGATCTTCACACATGAATCTCTGGGAAAAAGAGGCCATCATGATAATCCTCAAAGAAACTTGATCCTAAGTAGAAACTCCAGAACATATCAGAAAGTTCATACAGAAGAGAGACCTTATAGATGTGACGTCTGTGGGCATAGCTTCAAACAGCATTCCTCTCTAACACAACATCAGAGAATCCATACTGGAGAAAAGCCCTACAAGTGTAACCAGTGTGGGAAGGCCTTTAGTTTGAGGTCATACCTCATTATTCATCAGAGGATTCATAGTGGGGAGAAAGCATATGAATGCACTGAATGTGGGAAAGCCTTCAATCAGCGCTCAGCTCTTATTAGACATCGTAAAATTCATACTGGTGAGAAAGCTTGTATATGTAATGAATGTGGCAAAGCATTCAGTCAGAGTTCATACCTGATTATACATCAAAGAATTCACACTGGTGAGAAACCATATAAATGTAATGAGTGTGGAAAAGCCTTCAGTTTGAGCTCAAACCTCATCAGACATCAGAGAATTCATAATGTAGGGGAACCTTATCAATGTAATGAATGTGGCAAAGCCTTCAAAAGGAGTGCAGGCCTTACTCAGTATCAGAGAGTCCACTCTGGAGATGAAGATTATATATGTAGTGAATGTGGGAAAGGTTTCAGGCACAGATCAGTCCTTATGCACCATCAGAGAGTCCACACTGTGGAGTAAGTTGTGAACGCAGTGACTGTTGTAAATATTTGTCAGATTCTTGTCTTTGTTAGTCAGAAGTGTTTACTTTGGAGCAAAGTTCCATAAAGATTTTAAACTACTAGGTCTTTAATATCTCTAACTTGCTGTGTGTGGCACTCCCCTGTGCTTATGAAAGTTGACCCTTAAAACTTTTTTATGACAAATGAGAATGACAGATGGGAGAACCATTACTTTTAACTTTTCTTTTTATTATTACCATTAAGAATACTCAGGAAATACATTGAAACCTCGCTTCCCATGAGAACATCATGAAAAGTGACCCCGACATGTGAGTGTGCCAGGGCTGAGATGAAGTGGATAGTATGAGGGACTTTTTGTTAGTCTCAGGAACTCAAAACATTTTACTGTCCCAAATACAGACAGTGACAGGGCAGCAAGAAAGTTGGGGAGACAGGGTCTTGCCGATTATTTCTTGAGCCCAGGGTGGTCCAGAAATTAGGTGTGAGAAGAGAGAATATAAAGTAGTATCTGTGCCAGACACTTGGGATATGGTGGAAAATGAGATGTACTCTCTGCAGTCTAATGGAAACCAGTCAAGTAGCCAAGGACACGAAAGTGTAATGAGGGCTATGACCTGAAGGAGAAGCACCTTACCAGCCTTGGATCAGGGAAAAATGCTTCTTGGAAAAGTGCATCAGAGGGTAAGTAGGAGTTATCCAGAAGGATAAGAAGACTGCCCAAAAAACAGAAGGAACAAAGTCTTGGAATTTAAAATGGCACATCTGGAAAGTAAAAATATAAGGCCACTTCATATGAAGTTTCTCTTGAAGGGGGACCGTGTCTGAGAGACAGGCATGGGACAATCTCGTTAGCAGTGCCTATATTGAAATATAGAGAGCTCTAGTGGTGTAGTGTTAAGGCACTTGGCTGCTAACCAAAAGGTCAGTACTGTGAACCCACCAGCCACTTTGCAGAAGAAAGATAAGGCAGTCTGCTTCCTTAAAGATGTAAATCTCTCTTTCCCAGACAAACCTCCTTTGTTTCCCAAGACAGTAGCAGAGCTGCTGTCACATTCCTCCTGAACCCAAGGCTCTGGGTCAGGAGCTGCTGTGGTAGTCATATCATTTGTTTCTGGGTTGTATCCTACAGTTCCTAGCACATCCTTGGGCTCAGGTACACAAAATATATTTGACAGTTTGTCTTGGGGTCTATGAGTGATAGTCTTCAGGCACCACACACCACTATTTCACACTATCCTGTGGATTTTGTTCACAGGGAAGTAAAAGTAATAATCATGGTTGATCCAGAGATTCTCTTCTGAACAACCGGCAGAAAAGTGCTTCTCAAGGCTGAATTGTACAGGTTAGTCAGCAACAGAAAGACGTGTCATTCAGAACATCTAATAGGTTGAAAGAATAACAAACGCAAAAATGCAACCATTGCCGTGGAGTCGGATCTGACTCATAGCGACCTCTCCTTGGGTTTCCGAGGCAGTATCACTACAGAAGTAGATTGCCTAAACTTCCTTCTGGGGAGTGGCTGGTGGGTTTGAACCACCAGCCTTCTGGTTAGTAGTCAAAATGCCTTAGTCACTATGCCACCAGAGCTCCCAAAAGAATAACAAAGATCTTCACAAAACCAGGTCTTTATGGAAATACGGAATCCTGGTTATAGAGATAGGAGAGTTGGCAAGAAACAGAAGTAATGTTCCTATTGGGACATACATAGACATCTGTGAGCCAATGGCAGCAGCAGAAGAGCTAAAATGCCCGTTTTTGGAGAGAGTGAAAAAGGAAAGGGATGCTATCATTTGAAAAAATACCTTAAAATGTGTCAAAATATTTGGTAGAAGCTACTAGTTTTCCTTCTTTTCCACAGAAAAAGACCCAAGGAAACGGAATAGGTAGGAAAGACATTATATAGAAATAACTTTTTGTTCAGTGCTGTTGGTTCCAGCGTATGTGCACCTGCCTAGTCCTGCACCATCTGCCATCCTCACGATCACTGTTTGAGCTCGTCATTGCAGCCACTGTGTCAATTTATCTCGTTAAGACTGGTCTTCCACCTTTTTGCTGACACTGCACAAAAAGCAACACCTTTCATCCATTGCCTAATTATATTTACCATTTTCTTTTAAAGCCTCACCTGAAGCATATTTTTTGCTGACTTCCACTTTTTTACTTTTTTGGTAACATCTTTCTCCAAGGACTGGTGCCTCCTGATCCTATATCCAAAGTACATGAGACAAGTCTCAGTATCCTCACTTCTAAGAAGCATCCTGGCTGCTGCTTCTAAGATTTGTTAATTATTCTGGTAGTAGAAGTATATTCAGTATTTTTCACCATTAACTGTAATTCAAAGGCATCAGTTCTCTGGTCTTCCTTATTCATCGTCTGTCTTCCGCATGCTATGAGGTGATTGAAAATAGCATGGCTTGGGTGAGGAGCACCTTAGTCCTCAAAGTCACATCTTTGCTTTTTAACACTTTAAAGAAGTCTTGCAGATTTGCCCAGTGTAATACAAACTCTGATTTCTGATACCGCCTCGGAAACCCAAGGAGGGTTCACTATGAACCCTCAATGGTTCATATATACAACAGCATGACAACAAAAGCTTCCATGGGTGTTGACTGTGGATCCAAGCAAAAGTAAATCCTTGACATCAATCTTTTCTCCATTTATCATGATGTCGCTTATTGGTCCAGTTGTGAAGATTCTTAATTTCTCTATGTTAAGATGTAATCCATACTGAAATCTATAGTCTCTGATCTTAATCAGTAAGTGCTTCAAGTCATCTTCAGTTTCAGTAGGCAAGGTTCTGTCATTTGCATATTGCAGGTTGTTAATGAGTCTTCCTGCAATCGTGATGCTGCATTCTTCTTCATATAGTCCAGCTTCTCAGGTTATTTGCTTAGCATACAGATTGAACAAATACAGTGAAAGTATACTACCTTGCCACACACTTTTCCTGATTTTAAACCATGCGTTGTCCCCATGTTCTGTTAGAATGACTGCCTCTTGCTCTATGTACAGGTTCTGCATGAGCACAATTTAGTGTTCTGGAATTCCCTTTATTTGCAATATTATCCATGATTTGTTATGATCCACACAGTTGAATGCCTTTGCGTAACGTTAATGGATTAAATTATGTCCCCCCTAAATATGTGTTGTGAATCGTAACTTGTATGTATGTGTTTACAATCCCTTTTGGGAATGGGTTGTCTTTGTTATGTTAAGAGTGTGTCTTTTGTCAGTCTCTTTTGAGATAAGGGATTAAACAAGAGAGCAGATCAGAGATAGGGAAAGAGGGATGCCAAGCCACATGAAGATTGCCCAGGAGCAAAATCTCAGAAAAGGCAAGGACCTTCTTCCGGAGCCAACAGAAGGAGAAAATCTCCCAGAAGCAGAACCCTGAATTTCAACTTCTGCCCTCCTAAATTGTGAGAAAATAAATGTATGCTTGTTAAAGTCATGCAGTTGTGGTATTTCTGTTACAGGAGCAGTAGATAACTAAGAAGAGTGAGGTACTGCTTTAACATATACCTAAAATGTTGAATTTGTTTTGTAATTGGGTAATGAGTAGAGGATGGAAGAGTTTTAAGGTACATACATAATAGTAAAAGCCTATCAATTCTGACTCATAGTGACCCTTCCTTGGGTTTCCAAGGTGGTACCTCTGTGGAAGTAGATTGCCCAGTCTTTCTTCTGCAGAGTGGCTGGTGGGTTTGAACCGCCAGCCTTCTGGTTAGCAGTCAAATCCCTTAGGCAATGCACCACCAGAGCTCCTAATAGTAAAAGCCTAAATTGCCTTGAAGAGATTCTTGATAGAATTAATGGACATCAAAGATAGTTCTGGTGAGAGTTCAGAAGAAAGTGAGGAGAATTGTAGGGAACTTTCCATTGCCTGAGAGAATATATACGGTGCCAGCAACAGAGTTGCTAGAAATGTCATTGAATGCTTCAGGTGAGGCTCTAAAAGAAAATATGTCCTTGGACAATGGATGAAAGGTGTTGCTTTTTGTGCAGTGGCAAAGATCTTGTCTGAATTATGTTCAAATGTTTGGTGGAAAGTAGACTTTGTAAGTGATGAATTTGGACTTGGCTAAGAAGACTTCTGTTCTAACCAAGATCTTAAAAGCAACCATGGTTGCTTCTTGCCACTTGTGCTAGAATGCAAGAGGAAAAAGACTTAAAACTGAACTATGCAAAATGAAAACAAAATTTAAATTCTGTTGTACAGACTAAGAATACATGTCCTAGAATGTTCACCAAGGATGTGGCTACGCAGTATTTTATTAAAGAGATGAGCATGTTACTAATGGATCTAACCAACTGCCACGGCAGAAAACCCATCATGTTTGAAGGGGACGGGGAAGAATGAAAGAACACTGCCTCAATTCTGAAGTCAAGAAACAAGCCAAAGGAGCTACATCTGTTGTCCTCCAAGAAAAGAACAGAACCATCCCTGGAGCAGCTTGGAGTTCAGCCAAACTGTGAAGGAGCCTGGGAAGCAGGGCCTTCTCGTTTCAAAGGGCAGGGCAACAGTCTCCTTGATCTTAGAGTTGGGCCACAGTCTGCTAGGTTTCCAAGAAACAGATTCTTGGCAATTCAGTTCTAGAGTATAGTAGCAATCCACGTTAAAAGTGTGTCAGGGGCATGGGGCCACCCAAAGCTGAGGGGGCTACGTTGCCATCTCCAAGGAAGCTGGAGCTAAAACCTGGGGCCAGAGACCTCCACCCAGAATCCAGAAACCATGGCCATCACCCAGAGTCTGGAGGACAGGACCATTGAATAACATCCCCCAAAAAATACGTGTGTTACACATCCTAAGGGAGCTCTGGTGGTGTAGTGCCTAAGGCATTTGACTATTAACCAGCAGGCTGGCAGTTCAAACCCACCAGCCACTCCTCAGAAGGAAGGTTGGACAATCTACTTCTGTAGTGATTCTGCCTCGGAAACCCAAGGAGGGGTTGCTTTGAGTTGGATCCGACTTGATGGCAGTGAGTTTGGTATTTATAC